AGTGTTCAAACTTCCACGGTAGGGTCCTCTTGGAGGTCCTCGTGCGTGCCTGAACATCGAATAGAAGACCATTACTATAGGTCCCTAAGAGACGAGGAGATCGAACACAAATGTGGTCTGGAAATATTTTGGAAATTTCGTTTGAGTTTGTCTTTGAAGTTGGATTCGTAAAAAGGTACGAGACTCGAGTAATATCGGATTATTATTCCAGAAATCATTGGATGGAAACGAGTACGCGCGAATAAATCTCAAAACGAACGACCGAAGTTGAAAGTGGACTGGCCACATCACAATCCGGTCGGAATCTGGCCGGATTGGAGGCAGTAGCCATCCTCATTTTTTTCAAATCCCAACTACAATCCGGCCGCCTATCCGGCCAGAAACTGGCCGGATTCTAGAAAAATGCTTCCCGCGCGGATTTCTTTTTGAAGTTCCAGAATTCTCGATTTTTGGTAAAATCTTTGAAAAATCATAACTTCTTTTCTACTAGTCAAAAATTGATAAACTTGGTACCTTTGGAATCGTCTTTGAAAGTACTAAAAGTTCTTAGAAGACACCGTTCCATGAATCTAAATGGAAGATATTCAAAATGAGCTTAAAGTTGCTGTTCCGGATCACCCAGGATTGAGCCGGGGTTGGTTTTTCGCTAACTTTGGAAATTCGGCAGAATTCACTCGTTGCAAACCAGCCCTTGAAATTTATAACTCAATTAGAGATGCAAGTAAGGTTTAGGATAGAACAAGCGGATCGAGAATCGGAGTTTCGAGCACCAAGATATGATAGCTCAAAGTTGGGAAAAATTCTAGACTGTTGAACAATTTTCAGATTTGGGTTTCCGACTTTGGACCTTTAGTTAAGTGTCGAAACGGACTTGAATTGGTACCAAATTTTGCAGTATAGTACTCCTATATGAAGGATATTTCTCTATCAAATTTCGTGGAAAAATACCTTCGGGAAGATGGTTAACCAATCAACCAAAGTTTTGAAATTACTAAGGCAAAACTGCCTTTAGCTCCCATTCTCTCCGTTTCCAAACATTCGGCTAAGGAAAACCTCCAAACATGGTTCATTTGTGCAAGAAAAGTCTAAGAAATATTCATGGTACATTTGGTAGGTGTTTAGCACCAAGAAATTCATTTAGTAAGACCACAACGAGTCTCACATCAAATCTGTCTAAATCCAAGGTTTTCAAGAACAAGGCAGTCACCGTATTTTGATCATAACTCACTCAATTTAACTCGGATTTGAGCATGGTTGATAGTGTTAGAAACTAAATTCATAGGTCTATAATTTCACAGAAGAAATCGTTTTAAGATTCAGCATGAAACTGGCTCGAAATTAAGCCTAAAGTTGCAGCATCATCAAATCGTTCCAACGGAACAGAGAAACAGAACAGCTGAATTCAGAAGAGTGGTGCGGCTCACACACATGGAACCAGAATGTGAATTTTACACCGTTGGAAAGGTGTGGATGTCTAGTTTCAAATGCCACCAACGGTACTCGATTTCGACATCGGAGGACAAAGTTACGGCCGAAATACGAACACTAGTCTGGTCATTACGAAAACAGTTTCCAGATTACTAGCTTTGGAAAATAAATTCATTTGACCAACCAAAACTCAATATTTTTCAATGAAAATTTTTATACAACTACTACAACATGTAAACAACCCAATCAAGTCATTAAATCCTCAAATTTCTGCATTAAAGTGGCCGAACAAAACAGGGGTAAAATGGTCAGATTTGGCCTTTGCACCCGTCATGAGTTTCCATCAATTTTCCACCAATAATCCACTAGTTTAAGCACTAATCTAACATTATAGACATCATCAAGCATGAAATCAGCCATCAACACAGAGGTGGGAGTTCATAGAGCCCACCATCAAAATTTTCCAACAATACTAGCTACCCATGTGAAGATTCCAGCTCATATGTATAATTTAACCTCCATAGGACAAGTTTAAGGTATTAGATCATTACCTACTTTGATGGTTGGTCAAGTCAGAATTTTCGGCCCTTTGAAACCTGAAGAAAACCATGGAGAGCTCCTTTCTTTTGCAGCTAGATGGACTTCCCAAGTGTTGAGTTAAGTGTAGTTAAATTTTGGTTGAATTTGGTGGAGGTTTGAGCAAGATTTGGAGGTGAAATTTGCAAAATTTGTAGGTGTCTTGCTTCAGCTGTTGCTCGGCCAGAATGAGAGGAAAAGAGGGATGTTTTGATCTGATTCCTTTGCGTACAAATGAAGTTTGACGTCTAATATTTTAAGGCACAAAAATCAACCGCAAAAGGTGCGTGTACGCGCGCGTTTTGTGCTCGATTCCTCTTAAGTTTGTTGCACTAGTGCACTAAACCTCTAGGGCACTTACATTCATATAAATATTATTCATTCTTAATTGTTCCAAAATAATGGTCCAAAGTCCCTCAATTAAGCGCGCACGTGAAAACACGTATTTCCAATTTAGGCGCAATAAAATGAAACCTTCGAGAAATTCTTATAACGATCGTACCACCAACTATCACTTGAGTACTTAAACCTAAATTTACCTATTTTAGGACCATTGTATATGTCTCAAATTTTCGAGCTTATTGTATTCCCAATTGGCTAAAGTGTTTGGACACGTTTTCACCTTTTCACTAAACAAGCTTATAAGAAAATAATTTTTTGAAACGAGACACTTTAAAAATATAACGAAACTATAAAACCATGTACTTAGGTCTAATAAGGCTAGAAAATATTGTTCGTGGCAAAAATCCAAATAAATGTTAGAATCTAATAAGTGTAGCTTCCATTATAATTAAAGTGCCACAAGGTGATAGAAGCTTGATAATGTTAGAATTCCTTTGCTTGACTTGATATTTGTAATTTAGGGCTCCGACTTGAGCAAGACCATGAGGTACGATGGATGGTTCCTGAGCTGTGTATGGGTGAGTGAACCTTAACTCTTTCCCCAAAAGTTACTTTTGAATTACTTCTTGCATTGATTACACGACTGCATCTCATTGTGTATGTGTGTGTGCCATCCATTTTGGCTCCAATAAGATCTTGGGAAAAACTTGTGCTTAGAACCAACGTATCCACTACTGTTTATGTAGCCTTCGGAGCACGATGGCTCCTTATTTCTGTTCACCTGTTACTTGATTTGAAACGGGAACGTTGGATATCTAAGTACAAGGATTTCACTGGCTCCAAAGAGCATATTACGCACATTTGATCGCTAACTCTTTGCATCATTTAAATGCACAATTATAAAGCTATTTGATTACTGATTTTCCTATTCACTCGCTGAGCTTTTAGCTCACCCCAAATGTTTTTCTTTTCCCCACAGGGACCGAGGCAAAGGAAGCGCTTGTATTACTTTATTTGTGTGACTGGATGGCATGTAATTTGTATAATCTAGATTTGGGTTGGTTTTGTGTAATAGTTTGGCTAGGGTGACTGTTTGAGTGAAATGGATGGTATATACCCTGTACGGTTTGAATTGGGATTGCCTCTCGTGTAATAGCTTATTATTGGGGATTTGAAATGCATGATTGTACTTGAATGGATGTACGTGAACATTCCGCTGTATTGGTGACATGAAATTTGTTGGAGAATTTGATGTATATTTAAGTTTTGTATTGTAATTTGTTTGAGGACTGTAGTGATTAACCGAGTCCTGACGAAAGCTGGGCAGGCGACCCGCCGAACCCTCTGGTTCGCCTTAGGGGGAGGTGGGGTCGTCACAAGTGGTATCAGAGCTTAAGCTTCAGATCTCTGTAGCGTATCCTAAACTTAAAGTTTAGGATGCCTGACTGTGAGATTAATTGGCATAGTATGTGAACAAGGATCTATGGTTCGCGTACTCATCTTTCGGGGCGTCACAATCTCCCCTCCTTAAAAGAATGTCGTCCTCGACATTCCCCCTTGTACCAATCAAGTCAAGACATCCCGCACAAATCTCTCAAGAGTCCAATCAAACCCACAGTCCGGCATCCTAAACTTCAAGCCTAGGATACACTACAGAGATCTGAAGCCTAAACTCTGATACCACTTGTGACGACCCCACCTCCCCCTTAGGCGAACCAGAGGGTTCGGCGGGCCGCCTGCCCAACTCTCGCCGGGACTCAGTCGATCACTACAATTCTCAAATAAATTACAACAATATAAATCTCAAAATTACATCAAATTCTCCAATAATTACATATCACAAATGCAGCGGAAACTGATTCCAAATCATGGAACGTATACTTACATCCATATCAATTTCAAATATTTATACAAGACCAACTCGTAAATAAAATAGATCCAAACTTAAACTATACACGATATAAGCCATCCAGTCACGTGGATAAGCACTCCAAGTTTTCTTCGCCTTGAGCCCTAGGGGGGAAATAAAACATTTTGGGGTGAGCTAAAAGCTCAGCGAGTAACCAAATAAAACCAGTAATCAAATCGGTTTAACAATATTTCTTTTCAATGATGTCATAAATCAAATGATAAATCCGGAAACCACTACATCATTTACAAAACAGTAAATATGGATTATCAATAATTCACGAAACATGTACAATGGAAAGCGATAGTAACATTCATGAAAGGATACATTCATTCTCCTGACATTTCCTCGCTCATTTGATCATTTATTTCATTTCATTCACCCCGTCCCTGGCTTTTGGCCAAGCTCCACCAACCTACATAGGTAATATTCGAGTATACCAAACGTTCACCCAAGTTCCTAATCGCCTGACCGAATCCGCTTCTGGCTCAAGACGACCGGTAACAAGGGGCAATGGCCAGTTCAGCCCAAAAGGCTTACATTCATGCGCAAGTAACATTTCAATCGAAAATTTCACATTTATCGAGGTCGAGTGCGATAAAGTACACACTCGCCTCGAAAACTCGTTTTGGAAATCATTATAAGCGCTTAACACGTTATCAACCAAAATACAAGTCCTGAAGTCAAGAAATATAGCTCTCTCTCAAGGATGCAGCTAAAGATTGGTTGTACTACCTACCAGCAGGTAGTATTACCACATGGGCACAGTTGAAAAAGAAGTTTTTGGAGAAATTCTTCCCTGCATCCCGGGCTGCGAGTTTGAGGAAAGAAATCTGCAGCATTAAACAGTTCCCCGGGGAATCCTTGTATGACTATTGGGAAAGGTTTAACAAGTTGTGCACTAGATGCCCGCAGCATCAGATTAGTGAACAACTGTTAATCCAATATTTCTATGAAGGACTCCAGTCAACTGATAGGAGTATCATCGACGCTGCGAGTGGGGGAGCGCTGGCAAATAAGACCCCGAGGGAAGCATGGCTGCTCATTGAAGCTATGGCAGAAAATTCTCAACAGTTTGGCTTTCGTGAGAGTAACCCTACCCGCAGGGTTAATGAGGTGGAGTCGACATCTATTCAGCAGCAGTTGTCGGAGCTAATATCCGTTGTTCGACAATTAGTGGTGGGAAATATGCCCCAAGTAAAGGCCTGTGGAATTTGCACAAATATGGGCCACCATACTGACTCATGCCCTATGTTGCAAGAAGATGGGGCTGAACAAGTGAACATGGCTGGAGGCGTGCCCGCGCATCGTAGGCAGTACGATCCATACTCCAACACGTATAATTCGGGTTGGAGGGATCACCCAAATTTCAGCTATGGTAATAGGCCACAAAATGCATTCTCCAATCGTCCACCAGGATTTCAGCAACCTTGGCAACAGAAGTCCCAGCCCTCGTCCTCAAACTCAGGAAGTTCTTTGGAGGAGATTGTCAAGAGTTTAGCCACTACTACCACTCAGATCCAGCAAGAGACTAGACAGCTCCAGCAGGAGACCAGGTCATTGACCGCAAATATGGATCAACTCCAGCAAGAAACTAGAGTCTTAACCATGAGCACCAATCAATTCCAGCAGGACACAAAATCAGGCATGAAGGATATGGAGGCTCGAATAAGCCAAATGGCAACTGCCATCAATCGCTTGGAGTCCCACGCTTATGGAAAGCTACCCTCACAACCCGAAGTAAATCTCAGGAATGTAAGTGCCATGACATTAAGGAGTGGCAAGGAAGTGGAGGGGCCAAAGGTCACGAACTTGAAGAAAAAAAGTGAAGACGAGATCGAGAAGGAGATAGAGGAAGAAGGACGCATTCGTGGAGGTCCTGAGGTAACTCTTACACCATCGATACCCGTCAAATCTAATTTACCACCTTTTCCATGCAGGTTGGTAAAAACAAAGAAGGCAGAGAAGGATAAGGAGATCCTGGATGTGTTCAGAAAAGTGGAGATCAACATCCCCTTATTAGAGGCAATTAAGCAGGGTCCGAAATACGCAAAATTTCTCAAGGACCTGTGCACCCACAAAAGGAAGTTGAGAGGGGATGAAAGAGTAGTCGTAGGAGAGAATGTATCATCCATGCTCCAAAGGAAGCTTCCACCCAAGTGTGGAGATCTAGGTATGTTCACGATCCCGTGCAAGATAGGAAATACACCAATGTAAGGCCCAAAGACAACCTAAGAGGGGGGGTGAATTAGGTAGTTTTAAAATCTTAATCAAATTTAAGCACTTTTTATTTAATAAAATTTACCTTCTTTTCTAGTAATGATCAATCAAGTAGATTAGAAGAAGAGAGCAATGTTGATCAGAAAAATAAGTATAGATAAGCAATAAGAATTTTATTAAACAAAAATGTAAGATAGAATATCAAACCAATTGACTACCAAACTTTCCTCAAACTTGAAGACCAATCACAAGGTAGAGCAACTTCTCTTTGATGAAAGATGATCAACTAGATGTACAATGGAGGGAGCACTTCCTCCTTGCCCTAAGCCTCACTTAGTCAAGTTAAGAAGTTTTACAATCACTCAGATAACCCTCAACAAAGATACACTAATGAAGTTTTCAACCACAAAAGAAATGCTCACAAGAAATTCACACCACTTGGAGAACAAATCTTGTCTTGGAGACTATTTTCTAGCTAAAATATCTCTAGAGATCTTGTAAACAAAGTGTGCAAAAGTCCCTTCAAGGTTCAGCACAGTTTGTATTTGAAGGAGACAAAAAATGAGCTTCATTAATGCTTCCAACGGATAGAAGGCAGATGAAGAGTCAACTATCCGTTGGGGCGGTCGGACGTCCGATGAATCAGTCATCGTCCGAACCCATCGTCCGAAAGTCAGCCAGGTTATTGTTCGGACGTCCGATGGTGTATTATCGTCCGACAGCAATGCGTCCGATCGTCGACAGAGAGTTGGCAAGTCATCTTGGAATTTTTCGGACGTCCGATGCAGTAGATGTGCGTCCGAGGTGTGCGTCCGATCCTTCCGGACTTCCAACACTTCCAAATGAGCGTCCGACAGAGCTTCCTTCCTGATGTTCTTTCTCCTTTCGGACGTCCGACAGATTCCTTCGGACGTCCGACATGAGAGTCCTGTTTTTGCATCTCCTTTTGATTGATTTTCATTTCTTGACATATTTGTACCTGATTCTTTGATAGGCAAAAACACTTATATTTGAAGAAAGTTAGATAAACATTTCAAAGACTTTGTGATCATCAAAACAAAGAATAACATTCTCCCCCTTTTTGATGATGACAAAACAATGGTTTGAAATGAGATTTGATGATTGCAATATAAGCTCCCCCTTTCACATTTGACAAAAAACTCCCCCTTACTTGTTGGAACATAGAGCAAACATTTGAAAGACTCCCCCTCACTTGGCTACCCAATCAAATTAATCAATTGTCCAAAAACATAACAATTAAGCAGCCAATTATCTAAACATTTTACCAATTCAATCCATTAGCCAATTCAATATCAATTGAATCATCAATCAATCCAATCCAGATCAGTCCAATCCCAGCAATTCAATCAATCAAAAACCAAAAACCAGTCCTTCTCCCCCTTTTTGTCATCACAAAAGGCCAATCAATCACATATATCACTGAGAACCAATAACAAAACATTCATCACATCCACACATTCATCATTCAAATTACTTAAACATAAACATAAATAAACATCCATCCATATGTCCAAAGCCATCACAGGCATAATCATCCATCAAACAGTACTAAACGAACACAACATAAACATAAGAATTACATATCCATTTGAACACCACAAAAACTAGAAAAACATGAAAAAGTTAAACAGAATGCAAATGACCCTATGTGATTCTAAATGGTGAACTAGGTGGATCCAGGTGTCCTTCGTGAGAGCTGATATTGGGAGAGGTCCTCCTCTTCAGTATCTTCATCATCTTCAGCAGCTTCTTCAACTGGTGCCTTGCCTTTATCTGATGTGGAAGGGCCATGAGGAGTCACAGGAGTTGATGAGTCCGGGTCTGAAATTGATGAACTTGGTTCAGTGGGACGAGGCTCTTTGTCATGGGAAACTTCCTCAACCACAGGTGGGGGAAAAAGAAGGTTCTTTTTGTCTAGGAAGGCTGTTTGTTGCTCAGAGGACATGGTAAGCATTAGACCATGTTCCAGAAGAAGAACATGTTGTTTTAGTTGACGAAGGAGCTCAATCACTTCATCATTGGGGGAGGAAGATACCTTAGTGGCAGACTTCCTGGAATGAATGGGAGTGAGTGCAATAGATGAATGATCATGTGCAGCCTTAGACCTCGGTTCACTAGATGATGCCCCCTTATAAGCCCAAAAATTATCCTTAAAGACAAGATTTTTCCTTTCAAAATATCCTTTGATAAAGGCATAAGAAGAAGCTTCTTTGGGACAAACACCAATAATTGGTACTTTGTAAAACTCAAGACTCATAAGATAATTTTTCATAAGACAATTTTCTGCGAGAATCAGTGGCATAACGAAGTAAAAATTTGCACATGACAAAACCAAAATCAATACGAATCTTTTCTCGAAAACAGTAAAAAAAGTACAACTCCATTTTGTTTGCATCAGTTCTATGGCCATCAGTAGGCACAAGCAGGTTTGAAATGATTGAAGAAGCAATAAGATTCACAGGGGCAAGATCATTCAATTTAGCATCAGCAGGGGAAGAAAAATTTCTTTTAAAATAAGTCAACATTTTAGTCCCATCAAAATGATTATCAGCAGTAGGGTGCTCTTCATATGAAAAGAAATTTGCAATTTTATCCTTGCAACCACGTTCAATAGTGGTATTTAAGATGGAGTTCACAGCTTCAGAATCAAAAACTTAGTCTACCCCATTAACCTTGGACATAATCTCAGTTTGGTCAGTGCCTTTCCTAAGGTTGGCAAAGAATTGATGCAGCATTTCAGGGTAATAAACATTGGGCATAGAAATGAGATGTGACCATTTCTGGAAAGCAAACAGACTCAGAATGGATTCTAAACCTATGTGGCGAAATTCAGAGGAATTTACAGTGCGTTGAGGGATGACACCTTTCAGGGAAATCCAGGAGTATTTGTCTTTAGCAGCATCATCAAAGAATGGAGGAAGAGTGGTTGATTTTGGAGGCGGTTGAGATGAGGTTCCCTGTCCAGATTCAGGCTGAGAGGTGGGTTGTGGAGTAGGCCGTGACATTTGACCCTTGATAGCTCCTCTCTTGACGCGTTTGGATGAGCGTTTGACAGTAGGAAGATCCTCATCCTCATCCCTGAGTGGATGCTTGCGTCCGGTAGTAACCTTCCCTCCTCTTAGATTCACCATTGTGCAAAATGTGTGGAATGAAGGATGCAAATGATGCACACAGAAGTATGGAGGTGAGTCACACAGAAATTTTGGGACAGAAAGGCCTTAAAGAAGATTTGACAGAGCGGTTATAAGAAAATAGGGTTTTGAGGGAAATTTGGGAATTTGCGAACTGTTATGCGATTTGGAGAAATGATCAGGAAGAACGAATCGCAATCGATCAGGAAGAGTTTTGGTTGAGTCAATTTTGGAATGAGGGCTTCAGAATGGTATGAATTTGAGAGCCCAGAGAGATGGAGTTTTTCGTCCGAGAGGAAAGAGAGGAAGAGAAGTATGAAGCAAATGAGATTGAAAGTCATTTTTAAAAAGTGTACCGTTGCACTGTCGGACGGCCGAACGAAGTCGTGCGTCCGACAGATTCGTCCGAATAGGTGCATTCTGGAAAATAGCTGAAGAACATTATCGGACGTCCGTTCATCTTCTTTCGGACGTCCGAAGACTTTGGAATATTTTAAGATGATTTTTCGATTATCCCTAATTTTGATCTTAGATGAATGAATTGATCTAATGGCAAATCTTTTGTAAAAATATCAGCAAATTGATCTTTAGAACAAACATAATTTACACATACTTCACCTTTTTGAACAAGATCGCGAATAAAATGATGCTTTATATCGATATGCTTTGTCCTAGAATGTTGAATTGGATTTTTGGTGAAATTGATAGCACTAGTATTATCACAGAATATTGGCATGCAATCATATAACAATCCAAAATCATTCAAGGTATGCTTCATCCATAAAAGTTGAGCACAACATGCACTAGCGGCAATATATTACGCTTCGGTTGTAGATAAAGAGATTGCATTTTGCTTTTTGCTAAACCATGAAACTAAGCAATTACCAAGAAAGTGACAAGTTCCACTAGTACTTTTTCTGTCCATACGACAACCACCAAAATCCGCATCCGAATAACCACATAGAGCAAATTCACAAGATCTAGCATACCAAAGACCATAGTCTAAAGTTCCTTTCAAATACCTAAAAATTCTTTTAACAGCATTTAAATGTGATTCTTTTGGACAAGATTGAAATCTAGCACACAAGCAAACAGCAAACATAATATCAGGTCTACTTGCGGTTAAATAAAGTAGGCTTCCGATCATACCTCTATAGTGCTTCTCATCCACATGATTACCTTCTTCATCTTTGTCAAGTTTTGTAGAAGTGCACATTGGAGTTCTAACTTGCTTTGAGTCCTCCATGCCAAATCTTTTCAGCAATTCCTTAATGTATTTTGCTTGATTTATGAAAATGCCCTCTATGGCTTGATGTATTTGAAGTCCAAGGAAGAATTTTAATTCTCCCATCATACTCATTTCAAATTCACTTTGCATAGTGGTGGAAAAATCCTTGCATAGATTCTCATTAGTAGCACCAAAAATAATATCATGTACATATATTTGCACAATAAGAAGATCGTTTAAGACTTGCTTAGTAAAGAGTGTGGTGTCTACAAAACCTCTTTTGAAACCATTTTCAATCAAGAAGCCGCTTAATCTTTCATACCAAGCTCTTGGAGCTTGTTTTAGCCCATACAAAGTTTTTGAGAGTTTAAACACATGATTTGGAAATATTGCATTTTCAAAACCGGGAGGTTGATCCACATATACTTCTTGATCAATAAAACCATTTAAGAAAGCACTTTTAACATCCATTTGAAACAATTTAAAACCTTTGAAGCAAGCAAAAGCAAGAAGCATTCTAATCGATTCTAATCTAGCTACGGGAGCAAATGTTTCATCAAAATCAATTCCTTCTTTTTGTGCATATCCTTTAGCAACTAATCTGGTTTTATTTCTTA